AACAAACATTCTGGCCCTGATCTAGTTCCATAATTAAGTAAACAAACATTCTGGCCCTGATGTAGTTCCATGTTTCAAGCCTTGAAAAACTGATGACACAGTTTGGCCACAGGTGGAGGGGATTGCATCTGGCCCAGCATCAGTTTTCCACCTGAACCGTGAACTTACATGAGCGTGGCACAGGCGGCGCACGTGACAGTCAGGTTGTCCCAGGACACGCGCAGGCAGCTGTGTAGACGAGTGGCATCCAGGAAAAACACCACCGCTGTCATGGCGAAGCAGAAGCACCATGCTGCCATGCAGAACACGCCTTGAGCGCCGCTGTATCCGGCACTGTGGTTTACCATGGCAACCACAGCACATCCCATAGCCAGCTGACAGAGACGGGCGGCGCCCAGAGAGGAGCAGAGGGCACTCCTGTTGAGGTACGGACCACCATGGTCCATCTCTGTCAGGAAATAAAGCTTCTTTAAAACCTCCAAGAAAAACGGATAAATCAGAGTTTTATGTTTTAAGATATCCAGCGTTTTAATGTCAGTATTTATGCAAATGTCCTGGGTTGTTTCATTTATTTACATCATCCACAGTCGACTGTGGACGAGATTTTTATTTGTTTGTTTACTAAACTGCACCTTTGACCTTTGAATCACTGAGGCAAACAATAGCTCCTTAACTCAAGGGATGAACTGGTGTGTCATCTCAACAATAAACGACACATGAATTAAATCTTTATTCAGCAGATTTTCTTAAAGGCATAGTTTTTTTTTTTTACTTCAATACTGAATTTATCCAGAATTACTGAATTTAACTGAATAAAAAGTATTTTAGCATCAAAAGACTGATTTCTAAAAGATTAAGAGCCAAAAACATTTATTAAAAAAATAACTAGGCAGCAGGTTTTATTGTTTCTAAAAGACTCTCAGTCATGTTCATCTGTAGAGCAATTTTTATTGTTTTTCTTTTGTTCTTTACTCATGTAATTATTGTTTATTTTTAGGAACCGGTGCCAGATCAGGTCATGTTTGTGACTGTATTACTTGGCAACTAAAGAAACAAACAATTTTGTTTTTTGGGATGAGCTGACAGTCAAAAAAATTGCCAAACATGTAATTTTATAATAGATTCTTTAGTTGGTTTACGTGTGTAAATACATTAGTTAATTATGTGAGTTTATGGGCTTTTTATGTTTAAATTATTTACTGATTTACAGGCTAAATAATCAAAAACTAAATTAAAAAATGCTCAGTTATTAATACTGGCCTGAAAATGAAAGAAAAATGCATCCAAAGTTCAAAGACAAACAGAATGAATTTCAAAAAGCTTGAAGAAATATTATTAAAGGCTTTACAAAAATGTCAAGCTCTTTGGAAATAAATTATGAGATGACTTTTGAACTATTTTCTGCTCTGTTTAAATTTAGCTCCTATTTCTTCCGGTCATGTTTTCAGTGTTTGTTTCTACAACTTGAAAACTTCTCACACCCTTAACAAACAAGTGGTGTTTTATATTTTAACGCTCCGGTCTTTCAAAATGTTTAATTTTAATCATCTTGCCTTGAAAGTTCAGTCAGTTTTTCTGTCTGTTGTGTATAAATTCAGTATTTCTGAGGAGTCAGGATTGAATCGCTCACCTCTCAGCTGGTTGTTCACCCTCATCCTCAGAAAGAAACCGTTTTGTTGACAAGAAAATCCTACAGTCTTCCGAGATAAAACAAGTCCTGATCTGTTTTGGGTTTGGATCCTTCAGCTGAAGATCTCTTCATGAATCTTTCTGAATCGTTTACACTCTAATATTCAGCACACTCCTCCTCGCACACTTTCTCCTGGCCCCCTGAGCGGTGAGGAGGGGGTGCTGCTGGTCAATCAGACCAGAATGGAAGGTATTTGGGGAGGGGTCGGCTCCATGTGAACGCTGAGGGGGGGGTCGTGCAGACACAGACTTTTTTGTGACATATGGTGCCAGGATGTAAAGACTTGCAGAAATCCAGATTAATTATGGCTTAATTCACTTTTACTGGAATGTTCAATTTGAGAAAGAAGTAAAATGATAAGAAACAAAACAGTAAGAGACTTTTAGAACAAGAAGTTAAATCCACCTGATGATCTGAATATTTTCAAGTGTTTACTCTGAGCTGTAAAACATCTCAAGTCCCAAGCTCTCGTTTCGTCAGTCCTTGATGCAGACAAGGTTTGTGAGTTTAAATTCTAAAACGACTAAAAGGCTGAAATGAGCGACTAACAAAGCTGCATGGTTGATGTTGCCAGGTGGACAGTTGACGAAATCTCTCAGCAGCAGGAAATAAACAGACGTTTATAAAATGGAAACTGCTCTGGTCGTTAAATCAAACCACAAATCTCCATCAATAACTGATAAATATCTTATGACAGCCTTTCTAATAGTCCACCAAATATTTAAAGTGCCAGTTTTCATCATTAAGCTGTTTGGTTTCCATCAGGGGCAGCACGGTGGCGCAGTGTTTAGAGCTGTTGCCTCACAGTGAGAAAGTCACAGGTCTGCCTCCTGACCTTTCTGTGTTGAGTTTACACCCTGTGCACATGTGGGCTTTCTTAAGGTACTCTGGTTCCCCCCACAGACCAAATACATGCAGGTTCAGTTCAGTGGTAACTCCAAATTGTCCCTAGATGTGAGTGAGAGAGTGAATGGTTGTTCGTCTCGTTTGTCTCTATGTGTCCCTGTGATGGACTTGCGATCCGTCCAGGGTGTACCCCGCCCCTCGCACAGTGATTGCTGGACATGGGCACCGGAGACCCCCGTGACCCAAAATGGAATAAGCGGGTAAAGATAATGGATGGATGGATGGATGGTTTGCATCAGGGTGATAAATGAAAGTTTTCAGGTCTTTGCCTCCACCTGCTGGTTTGAATCGATTTTTCTGTCTCCACATGATTCTACTATTAAAAAACCGTACAATTTTTTTTTTTATAGAATAAAAGTGACATTTTTGTTTGCTTTATGAGCTATTTAACAACATCATTGTTTGATGGTTGGGTCCACTGTCCAGGAAAACAGGGAGTGTCCAGACAGGATGGAGTGGATGGAGGAAAAAAAAGGGTTATGTCATCAGGATGCTGACCTGAACTGAAGATATTGTTGAGTGGTGGAAGGAGCACTTTGAGGATCTCCTTAATCCACCATGTTCACTTGAAAGGTGGACATCAGATGCAAATAAATTCCTTTATTCTGGGGGGAGTGGTGGCGCAGAGGCTAGAGAGGTGGGCCTGTGATCCGAAGATCGCCGGTTCACGCCCCGGCCCTGACAACATCAAATTTGTGGGTGGGGTAGGTGAAACACCCACACTTGCCCCCACCCTCATTCACCCCACCCTGGGCCCATGAGCAAGGCCCCTAACCCCCACCATGTGCTCCCTAAACTGGTCTCTCTTGAAAATGAGTTCTCGTGGCTCAATGAGACTAACCTGGATAAATAAAGGCTAAATGAAAAAAAAAAATAGTGTTATATTTTTAAGTACTCAAAACATTGACTAAAAACATATTACATGGACTCTTTTATGAACAAGTGCGTATTTAAAGGCAGCAAGAAAACTAAATGTACACCTACTTAGTACTGCTTTAAAATAATTGAGCAACACTTATTAGTAATTATTCTCACTAATATCTTAAAAGTCATTAGTTTGTAAACTAAAATTATAAATTGATGCTTAAAATTACTTTTATCAAATAGAAAAATGTTAGGCACTTAAGTCATCTTACTTGACATAACGATACATCTTAATTTGAAAAATAAAAATGAATTTTCCACTGATGAGAGGTGGTTATAATCTTATACATTTATTTACATTTTTTGTTATAAAGTTTATTTAAACACAAGTCTTTTTTTTTTTACAACAACCTTTATTTAATTTTCACATTATCTCCTCCGTTTTCAAAATGAAACAACAATCTTCATGAAAATTAGTTTTTTTTTTCCAACCATTTAACTCTTCATTTTCACATTTACTTGAATTCAGGCGTCTTTTCTAATCAGTTCATGTTCAATGTGCTCAAAAAGGTAAATGTTTGTAGAAACGAAGCCGAGCATCACCGATCGTCCAGCTGCAGACGTCTTACTTCTTCCCTGTGTAGAAAACAAACAAACAAAAAAAAAACCAGATTCAAATCTCTAACGTTTATTTTACAAGAAAATCTCAAACTTTTTCAAAATAAAAAGTAAAACTAACAGAATTCAGCAGAGGGATTTGTCCACTAAAATAATAAACAGACTTTTCCACTCGGCTATTTATAAACGCAAACATTTTCAAAACGATCAAAATCAAGATTCAGAAAAAAAACCATATTTTAATAATCAAACCTGAATCTGAAACACTCACTAGTGAGAAAATCCAGTAAAAAGCCGCTTCTTAAAGTAAAAACAAAGTATCATTTGAGACGTGCAGTAAATCCTGTCAACACTGTATCGAAATACTAATTATTGTGATGAAGAAGAGCTTTTTCAAAGAGCAACAAAAACAGAAGACTGGGAGAAAAATAAAAATAAAATATTGCTGGTTTGTGTGATAGTGTCAGACAGATAAAGTCCATCTCTGCAGAATCAACACATGGGATCTATAATCCTCATTCAGCTCCTCCTGTCTGTTTTTCTTTTAACTTCCTTCATGGAAGAGAAAAGAGCCGCAGCTTTCTTCAGAGAGGACACACAGAGAGATCAGTCGGGATTAAAACATGGGAGAAAATTTCCTGAGTAAAAACATCAACATGGTGTCCAACAGAGCTCCTCTCCGTGTGGACGGATCACAGGGGCTGGTTCTGAGTGATGCGGCCCAGCAGCAGGCTCTGGTTCTGGACGCTCTGTCTGTAGTGGTCTGCAGCTCATGAGGGGGTGATCCATCTAAACCAGTTGGTTCAGAAATAAATCCCATCTCTGCAGCATGGTGCTACGATTCTATGGCTTCCAAATTATTGCCAACTTGTTTTTTCACCATAACTTCCAGAACAGAACTTATTTTTTAAACAAATCATGTAAGATTTTTTTTCAGAGCAGCAGATTAGGATCTGTTTTATATTTTTGTAATCTAACTACTTCTAATATGTTGTACTCTTTCAACTTTTTTAATATCAAAACATTCAGCTCATTCAGGAAATGGGTGCTAAAAACTTTTTTTTGTATCTTTTATTCTTTTCAAAATATTTAACTTGTATTTGTAACTTGTATTAAGATAATGGATGGATCCGTTCATCCATCCATTTTCTTCCACTTGTTTCCGAAGTCGGGTCGTGGGGGCAGCAGCTTGAGCAGGGAGGTCCAGACATCTCTTTCCACAGCCACCTCTTCCAGCTCTTCTGGGAGGACTCCAAGGTGTTCCCAGGCCAACTGAGAGATGTAGTCTCTCCAGCGTGTCCTGGGTCTTCCCCGGGGTCTCCTCCCAATTTTACATGCCCGAAGCACCTCCCTAGGGAGGCGCCCAAAGCATCCTTACCAGATGCCCGAACCACCTCAACTAGCTCCTCCTGATGTGGAGGAGCAGCAATTCTAATCCCAAGTCTCTCCCAGATAACTGAACTTCTCGCCCTATCTCTAAAGGAGAGTCCAGCTACCCTGCAGAGGAAACTCATTTCAACTGCCTGTATCCGTGATCATGTTCTTTCGGTCACTACCCAGAGCTCGTGGCCACAGGTGAGGGTAGGAACGTAGACTGACCGGTAAACAGAGAGCTTCGCCTTACAGCTCAGTTAGTTACCCCTTCACCACAATGGAGCGGCACAGAATCCACAATACTGCAGACTCAGCACCAATCCGTCCGTCAATCTCACGCTCCATTCTTCCCTCACTCGTGAACCATGAGATACTTGAACTCCTCCACTTGAGGCAGAACCTCACCCTCTTCTCAAAAAAGTAATCCACCTTTTTCCAACTGAGGACCATGGCCTCAGATTTGGAGGTGCTGATGCTCACCCCAGCCGCTTCACACTCGGCTGCGAACCGCTCCAGTGAGAGCTGAAGATCACGGCACGATGACGCCAACAGGACCACATCATCTGCAAAGAGCACAGATGGAATCCTGAGGCGACCTCAGCCACGGTTATGGACAGATCAGCCCCAAAGTCCTCTGACTCAGCTTCCTCCATGGAAGACATGCTTGTGGGATTAAGACGGTGCGAGGAGTATTCCTTCCACCTCCCAACGATATCAGTGGTTGAGGTCAACAGCACCCCACCTTCACTGAACATAGTGTTAGTCAAGAGCTGCTTTCTCCTCCTCAGCTGTCTGATAGTTTGCCAGAATCTCCTCGTCGTTGATCAAGAGTCTCTATCTAAGACCTCATCAAACTCCTGGCACATACAAGCTTCTGCCTCAGCAACAGCCAGGGCTGCGACCCGCTTGGCCCTCCGGTACTCCTCAGCTGACTCCAGAGTCCCACCAGCGATCAAGTCCCAATAGGACTCCTCCTTCAGCTCGACAGCCTCCCTAACCTGGGGTGTCCACCACTGAGTTTGAGGATGGCCACCACGAGAAGCACCAGCAACCTTGCGGCCACAGCTCAAGGCAACCACCTCCAGGATGTGTGAGTTGAAGAACTTTCTGACAGGTTCTTCTGCCAGGCGTTCCCAGCAAACCCTCACAACACGTTTGGGTCTACCGGTTCTGTCCAGCATCTTCCCCCGCCATTTGATCCAACTCACTACCAGGTGGTGGTCAGTTAAAATAAATGAGTAAATTAAATTAATAAATTAGTTTTGCTCTTGTTACAAGATAAAACACACACCTCAGATAATGTTTGACTTTTTGCTTCATGTAGTTCTGACATTTATACGAAATGTTCATGCATTCATTTTTTTTCTTACACGTTTAGCTATAATTAGGCCCAAGAACACTATGATCGTGTGCAGGAGGGCAGGTGGGACTTAAAGCTCCACATCACCAGTGAGCAGACTGGTTCCATAAACACAACACAGCAGCTTCTTTAAACTGGGTTTTCCTGGCCCCAACATCAAGATAAGGTGAGGACAGTTGGTGTACTGGTCTACGATTTGCTACTATAGCTTTTAAATAGCCTTTTGCTACTTTTAGCTGTTTTTGCTCCTTTTGACCTTTAGCAAATGTTCTGCTTCTTTTAGCTTTAACAGCATTTTTATTTCAAGCAGTCATTCAGCCGTCAGTATTTACACAATTTGGCAGAAAATGTGATTTCTGTAGTTCCAAAATATTTTTAGAAACTTTTTTTTATTGTGCAGACTTCGCTTTCAGTCATTTTTCAAGTGTTTTGGAACATTTGCAGATGAATGTTCATTCATTCCCATTCCTTTATGATTGTCTTTGTTGTCCACTGTTGTCATCACTCTGTTAAATTCAGGTCTCTCTTGTAAATGAGTCCCCGAAGCTCAATGGAATTAAGCTGTATACATAAAGCAGCAGCAGATTGGAGAACCTTTGGGACATGTTAGTGTTGCCTAAATCGTATGTCCATGGAGAAGGTTGAGTTCTGAATATGGTTTGTTTTCCAGTGATGCTTTCTAACAGCACGTGCACATGTCATAACACATTGTTGCCACTCAGGGGCAGCCATGAGTACTTTATGTGTAACAATAGACTGCAGCTGTTGTCTGCTTTTCAGCTGATTTTTTTTTTTTTTTGGCAGTTTTATCCAGTTTTTGTTGGTCTCTTTAAGCTCATTCTAACTTTAAACCAAACAGCATTTGACCAACTCACTGTTGTTGTTTTATGTATTTTAAATGACTACAAGCAAATCTCTGTTTTGTGAAATAACCATAATTTGTCTTTCTCTAAAGGGTGAAAGTAACAAAAACCTACAATGAACTATGTCCCAGGCCAAAAACTGCATTCAACTTACTATATTCAAAAATAGCTGTAAAATACAGAAGACATAATAAAAATAATACTGGCAAATAATTTAAAACAGGTGCTCTGTATGTGTGTGTATATATATATATATATATACACACATTTTTTTTTTAATCACCCTATGTTTCCTTGTAGTGCTGAAAATGGAAAACACAAACATCTTAAAGCTGCTTGTGTGAACATAAACCGGACGGCCAGTTTAACTGAAAATGCACGTGCCTAAACATTTATACTGGTGTTCTGTCCGTTTGTGTGTTTACTTCCTGTCCTCACCTGGCAGCTTCAGCCACTTGGGCATTTTGCCCGAGCTCGATGTGGCTGGTTTAGCAGCCTGAGTGTGGACTGATGGGTCTGGTTCCTCTTGTGTCAACCTGTTGGAGTCCTCCACTGGTTCTGGAGGCGACAGAGGTTCCTCGACTCCTGCAGAGCTGGAGGAGGTTTCTGGAGGATGGATCATGCAGCTGGAGATTAGAAAGAACAAAAATATGCTGAAAATAAAATGCATATTATTCCTTTTAGGAATGCATATCACCCGCAACCTTTTATTCTAGAGTTTTAGCCTAAAAGCTTCTAATGATGAGAAATGATGGGAGTTATTTTGGTCCAAGTCAGGCACGATCTCACGTGATCCCTGGTGTCTTGCTCGGAGAATGTGCTGTAAATGACTCTCAGCTACTACCACACCAGTTTTTATTAGATCGCTATCTGTAACGTTGCTGAAAATCATAAATTTGTTACCTCGGACTAGAGATGAGCCACGGGTGGATAAGATAAAAATATAAAATGGGAGGAGAAAAAAACGATCTTATAAAGACGCAGGACAAAAGTTGAAGGTAACTTTTTAGTTCTATCTTTAAAATGACTGGACCATGGTGTGTGTGTGTGTGTGTGTCCTTGTTTATGCTACTTTGTGAGGCCCATTTTTCCAACTTATACTGCATTGTGAGGACCAACTGCTCCTTATGGGGCCCAAAGCCCGGGCCCCATAAGAAGAAGTCCCGTTGGTGGGTTAGGGGCTAGGTTTAGGACTAAGGTGTGAATTGAGGATGTGTTAGGTTTAGGGTTAGGTGTGTACTGGTAATGGTTAGGTTATGGATAAAGGTCATGGTTAGGCTATATAAATGAATGAAAAATGAATGGAAGTCAATGCAAAGGCCCCATAAAGAAGCAAAACAAACCTGTGTGTGTATGTGTGTGTGTGTGTGTGTGTGTGTGTGTGTGTGTGTGTGTGTGTGTAGGAAAGGAGGGCATGTCGCAGAAAAAAAACTGATTTGCAATTGATCAGGTTTTGATTTAATCAAATTTATTACAAAGCTTTGGAGAACGGCCAGACCCACAGAGAGTCAACACATTACAAGAACAGAACTTGTCCATAACTCGTCCTGTCTTGGTTTCTGACCCGTTCTGGCTACCAGGAATAAAAAAGTAACTTTTATCAAAGCTCATTAGTGGAGGGGGGCACTCCTACCCCTCCCTCTCACGCCCTATCACAGTGTTTGTTCATGCAGCTAACAGCTTCACAGAAAAGAAACAATCTTCAACGTTCCTTGATAAGTGTCTCCAGCTCAGCTGCTACTGGCACCAAAGCATAACAACATCATTCACAACAACCTTAAAGTAATAAAAGGATTATAAGGTTATTATTAATATGGTAACATTTTATTGAAAGTATCAGGAAGCAGATCAGTAAATAATATATTTCCACCACAGGCGTTAGGAGGCACCTGCTGTTTGGCAGAACCTCAAAGGGATTCCAAAGATGACAACTTTGTGTGACAGGAAAATAGACTGGCTGCTGTGGGATACACACATGCACACACAAAACCATGTGCACAATTAAACACACACATACACACAAGTTGACATACCTCGCTATGGATTTATTTGCTTGCAAGGCTGAAACTGAGGTTTCAAGCAGTTCTCTCTTTATGTAAAAATCTGTGGAGAAAAGAAAACAGACCTGATGTGAAGTATTGTTGTGTTTTATTACATTCCTCACTGATGCACAAGAACATCATTAAAATCAGCATAAAAATGAAAGGAACCAGACAGAAACCTGTCTTGACGTCGGAGCCGAAGTAAACCACAGCACCAGGAAACAAGTCGGCCTGCAGACAGGAAGACAGACGCAGCGTAAAGAGCATAAACGGGAGCCTCAAAAAATGTTCTGTCAATTTCAACAAACAAGATTTTTTTTTTTTTTTATAACAAAACTTCTGCATTTTGTTAACCTAATGTTACTGCCAAATGAGGAAAAATCCAGCTCTTTTCTGAGAATGATTCACAGCTCGGGGATCAGAACCAGTAACCACGGTTCTTTGAAGCAGACCACAAAATGAGCACCAATCAAATGGTTAGTGAAAACACTTTCACCCCTGGAGCATCGCATTCCTCCAGCGGAGAGCATCTTAATGGTTATATTGGACCAGACGCAGGCAGATTTATTATCAGCCTCACAATTTTGAGGTAGAAAGGCAGACAAAACGGGCAAGCGGAGTCTGTCGATCTAATGGGACAGGAACAAAAACAGTTTGAGAAAATCTGTTCTACGCACGAGAGGCCAACAAACAAACTGGAGACAAACATCAGTTTTATAACCAAGGAGAAGGTTTCCTCTTCTAATGTGCAAATCTGTACTACTTGAATTAAGGGACGTGAGAAAGGTTACATTTATTTTATTGATATTAAACAGACAAATAAAGCCAACAGCAGAGTTTTATGATCCGAGAGAACTAAATGTTCTCTCAGACAGACATAAGACAAAGAAAGAAAAATCTGAGTGCTGCAGAAACGTTTGGGTTCTGCTCCCCTGAGATAGTTCAGTTAACGTCATATTTTTCCACCAGAGATTTTCCTGAAGTGACCAAAAAGTTAATTACATGCAAGTGTTTAAAGCGTTGGTTGCTTTTTGTTTTAACCATTTGTAAATTAGTGTTTTGTCCAAACTGCATTCAATCATCTTTCAATCATCTTTCAAGCATTTTGCAGTTTTTTCCCCCCAGCTTTTTGTTATGATTTATCGTGATAAACGACACGTTCTTAACAGTTTATCGGCGTTAAAATGAAGATTTCTCTTCATCACATGAAGTCTGTAATGTTGCTTTAAAGAGCAAATTTTTTTGTTGTTTTAATACCTAAAGTGGGGTGAAAATAAAAGGGCAAAGAACAAATTTTACAAAGTTTACTTCATTTATTCACTGTTTTTGCCAAAGTATCCTTTTAAAAATGACTGAAACATTGTATAAATACTGTGAGGAGCACTAGGTTTAAAGAGCTTACAGTTTTTCATAAAATGTTTACTAATGAAGACAATAAAGCCACATAAAACAGTAATTTTGCTAAATTGTCTTCTTATGGGCCTTTTGTAAAATGTTAGTTTATTTTAATAAAGAGGAAACTTTAATTTTATTATGAAACAACTAGATTAACAGCTTTAAGAAGTTTTAAGCAATTTCATCCAAAATTCAGTCAATTTCAGATTTTAAAACATCTTAATAAAATTCAAGCCTTTTCAAAGATTTTCAGCATTTCTACAATTTCAAAATCATCTTTAATAAAACGTGAATTCTCTGATTATCTAAACTGTGACTACATCCTATTTTTTTTAATCACAGCTAAAAAAAGTAATCTTATTTTACCAAACATGGGTGTGCTCTAATGATTTAACTTCTTTTAAAACTTGACTTTAACAAATTATCACATTTAGCAGTCAAGTCAAGATTTAAGGTTGTAACTATCAGATCCTTTCCCTCAGGAGTAATCAATGAATGATTAGCAAGCAAAAACAGTGAATTAAAAGGTTTTAGGGCATCACACCTCATGTTCTGACAAATTGGACTAAACTAATTTACCAAATGCTGCATTATTCTTAAAATGTTCTGCATTATTATGGCTATTTTTGTAGGCAGTCACCTTATTTACTGAGTTTGCTGCAAGCTCAGAGAATAAAGAAACTCGTCAATGTGCACATAATTAAACTAACTTATTGCTCTACCGTAGACGTAATGTTATTGAACAGATTATGAGGAAAATCCTTCAGCATCCATTAGATTTTGATTAAAAGCAAGAAGCTCCATTTGTTCCTTCCAGATTGATCTGTAGCGTAACATAACAGGTTGCTGCTGGTGTCAGATGAATCTGCAGCTTGTCTCACACTCACACTGCCCTTACTCTGTCCTTTGTGTAGCTGGTTGCTAAATTGGGACACGCCAGCCTAATTGCTGTCATCGCAGCCCTGTGAGCAGGAAACAGTGTGTTACAGTGGAACAACGGGAATTCCTGCCATCCTGTTCCCTCTGGCAGCAACACTCTGGATAAGACGGGCCGACGGGACGAGACCAGGGAGAGGGTGAGTGTGAAAAAACATAAAAGGGAAGGACAGAAAGAGAAAGAGGCTGAGCGGATCCTGATGGAAGACGGAGGAGGGAGGGGACGCTTGGTATCAAAGGGCTTCTCTGGGTTGGGAAACATTCCTTTCCTGACATGACACAAAGTGATTAAAGATTGCGTGTTCGTGCACACGACAGAAAGACATATGCAGCCATGTCTGCGTGACGAGACAGCAGAAAAAAAAAAAAAGATCAAAGATTCCTCGTATGTCTTTTTGAGTTCAAGTTTGATGTATGGACACGTAGACGGAGCCAGATAAAGTGTGAGAATGATACAGAGGGGATCTGATTGTTTTTGTGCACTTTAACACTTTTAAGTCCCTAATGGATAGAGACATAGGGGTGAGTGGCCGGAGAGCGAGATCATCTGGGTGCTGGAGGCGGAGGAAACACAAAAAGTTGGAGTTGGGGTGCAGGAGAGGGACGCGTAGTGAAAACCAGGCAGGACGATGAAGAACAAAGAGAGACGGGCAACAAACATCAGAACATCTGACTGGACTGGAAAAGATCGAGACACCAGAGAGGCACACACACGCCAACAAAGGCCCATTTCAAAGTGAGCTTTTATGGTTTTCAGGATTGTTATCTTCTGTACCAGTCCCTCTGAGGACTCGATCTTCATCACAACAAGATAAAACTTCAAACAACTTTCTCACCCTCCCTTCTGATTCTGTCTACTCGTTTTGAAATATTGTATCAAATAAATAAAAGACAAAAAAAAAAGATGTAGCTAATTAAATAAGTATCTTTTTTATTACTGTGACTTCAGTCCGTCTAAAGGCAGCAAAGCATCCTGGCTGCCCACGGCTCCGTGTGTGAAGATCAAAGCGAGGCCTGTATTAACCACATGTGCCAGTCTGGGAAAAATCAAGCTCAGCTGGGGTCAAGGACAGTGGAGACGGGGAGGTGTGTGTGTGTGGAACCAGTGTGAGTAGAAGCAACAAGAAAAGAGGGGACGTGAGGGGGAGAATGAGAAGGGGCTTTGAAGAGGAGACACAAAACAGCCAATGTGTTTTACAATTTACACGTGCACATGCTGAGAAAAAAAAGTGTTGCAGTTGTTTAGTTAGAGCTCAACTCTGACAGGTTTTTTTTTTTAGACATTTTATGCTCAAATTCCCAAAGAAACGCTTCTCCACAAGCTTAACGCTGGCATCTCATCGTAACTGGTCAGGAAACTAATTTAGTCGTAGATGTTTTGAATCTCGTCATGGGGGCGTGTCCTACTCACGAGTGCAAGAGAAGCATTTTGACACCTGCATGGAAGATTTCTGTACATGAGAAAACCTCTGAGGCAAACATCCACAAGTAAACAACCAAATGATTCAAAACTGCCCAGCTTCGTTTCAGAAGTGTATTACAGTGGATTGGAAGCTTGGGGGTAGCTGCTGATGTGGGTACAAAACGAGCCAACACAGTACTGTGCACGGCTTCGAATAGTGGTGTACGTGAAAACATGCTGTGACTGACCGCTTTCCCACAAACACTGAAAATTTAGCGACACTGCAGTGGAAACGTTCCCTTTCTTGCAATCTGAGTCACAACCCAACAAGATGTCACTTTAATGATCAACCTTACCTGTAAAAGTGTGGCTGAAGGGTCATTCAGAATAGTTTTTGGAGGGGTGACGACTAAAAAGAGAGGTTAAAAAAAGAAGAAATTACACAAACTAGGAATGCAGCGCTTACCGAAACATTTCCTGGAAAAGATCGTTAAAAGCAAGTCAAACACACCTGGTTACAGTTGGGAAGTTTCATGTCAAAAATAATGCTATAATTTTATCAACTTTTGTTATTACAGTGGCGACAAATTAATTTAAAAAATGTAATAAACACTCATGTTCAAGAATCGTAAAACATTAAACAGTGAACGGCAGTTCTTCATTTCCTCTCGTGCTTGTTCAGCTCATGTAGACTCAATCCAGATCTAGACCTGTCACGATAAACAATAAATCAATTAATCGCATGATGAAAATTTTCAACGTCATTTTCATTTATCGGCTTTATCGTTTTTTCGTCTCTCTCTTTCTACTGAAGACACTGGATGACAAAAGGCTCAACTCCGGAGCTCTTCACTGACCCCTCCCTTTCTTTTTTCTTTCAAATCCATTTAAACCGTCCAAAATCACATTTTTGGATCGTTAAAAGCAGCTAAGCTGAGAAGCTATGCTAACAGGTCAACCTTGGGGGGAAAAACCTGTCTTGTCGAAGCTCCACAATTCACGGTTGAAACTTGTGTCTTTGTGCACAAAGTTGTTTTTCTCTGCAAAAAGAAGCTGAGAACTTGTTTACTGATTTTTTTTTTTATTAAAAGCTTTGTGTGAAAAATGCTATACTAAAGAGCTCAAACCACACAGAGTGTCCGCCATTTTGAGAACCGAATAAAGGAAGGAAAGACAGCCCATGTCACGTCAAGGGGCCTCCCTCCCATTTTTCTTAAAGAGACACGCTGCTCGCTCCCTCACTATTCATCCTTCAGTTCAAACAGTCTTATACTGCCATCCGGTGGTCAAAAAAGTACTATACACAAAATAAAATTAATCAACATTTCTTCTTAAATTTGACAATAAGTACTAATCCATCCATCCATTATATTTTACCCGCTTCTTCCATTTTTGGGTCATGGGGTCGTCGGTGCCCATGTCCAGCAATCACTGTGCGAGGGGCGGGGTACACCTTGGACAGGTTGCAAGTCCATCACAGGGACACAGAGACAAACGAGACAAACAACCATTCACTCTCTCACTCACACCTAGAGACAATTTAGAGTTACCAATCAGCCTAACATGCATGTTTTTGGTCTGTGGGAGGAAACAGGAGTACCCAAAGAAAACCCACGCATGCACGGAGAGAACATGCAAACTCCACCC